ATGCAAAGGTGTGCAGGTGCAACATGCAAAGGCGTGCAAAGCGTACAAATAACAAACGGCGTGCCAATGACAAACGGCGTCACAAACTCAGTTAACCTCAGTTCCATCGTATATAATTTGAAAGTTGGCTATCATACTCACATTATAAATGTAATAATTTAATTTTATAATCTCATCTTTTATGTTAATAAACAATTTTATTTCATTATAAAATAAAATTTTGTAACAATTTTATTTTGCAACATTATAAACTTAAATTATTTTCTTATTTATTAAAATTTCCTCTATTAACTCTTGTAATTTGAGCAAATGAAATAATTTAATTTTATAATATCATATTTCATGTTGAGTCCTCTCTTATAATTTTTTTTCTAAGCAAGTCATCTCTTATATTACATATGTTATAATTATATTATTGTATTAATATATGTGATAAAAAAAAATTGGCCCCCTCTTAAATTTTGGTCAAGTTTCCTCCCTATTACAACTTAGCCTTATTGATCTAAAATAATTTATTTTAAAACAAGAATGAGATTAATTTATTCTTTTACCATTTTGTTTGTTAAAACAAAATAATATTTAAGGGATTTTAAAATTTTAATAAATAAATACTAATTTTTTAAAAATATAAACAATAAATTACATTTATTGATTAAAGTTGTCTCGTTATGCCTTTATTAAATAGGTAAGAGTAACCTTTATACTCTATAAACCAATAAAAATTTCATTAGTTGTTCTAAAAATAAATAAATAAAATGCTTTTACTAAAATTGTCTCCTATTATATTATTTTAAGATATAATTATTAAAGTAGTCTTCCCAATCCAATAATTCCTAGTGATTTTTGTTAGTCTTCCTTTTTTTTTTTTTTCTTTCTTTGTCTAGGCTAAAATTACTTTATTCTGTTTTATTTTTGCTTTTTTATTTATTTATTGATTTACTAGTGGAAATGTTGAACCTTTCCAATGTGTTTGGATTGATGCCTCTTTTGTAATATTGACTCCCACGAGGCATTGAGGTTCAGTTTGTTCGACCTCTTGTATCTTTTATGTTTGTGTGAATGAATTTTCATATTCACCTTTAAAAGATGAAAAATACTGTAATTTGAAAGACGGTACAATTTTAGACCTGCCTACACCTTTAATTTTGGTCCTAACTACACGTTTTGCCTTTTTTTCAAATGGTACAATTTTGTTCCTGTCACTTGTCTACATGTTTTGCCTTCTTCTAGACCTCTGTGTGCGCTTGGCTACACTTTTCTTGGAACGTATTTCTGAACTAATATCCCTAATAATTATTGCAG